TGAAGATGACCACCCTACTCAGGGTTTTCTAATAGCAGCTCTCATTGGGCTTCTGGGGACATGGTTCCTGGTGCTTTACTCTTCCAGTCCTCCAAGTAGCCACAGGAGCATCAGCTCAGAACTGGCTGGGACTCCTGCCCTTGCGAACTTCCAATCCCCTCCCCTTGCCATGCCTGGAATCCACAGCCCCAGGAATCTGGTAGTTTTTCTTTTTAATCTTCAACTTAAGTTATACCCCATTCTCTGCTTCCCAACAAAAGAGCTACATGACCACCCTCCTAAGAACATCCCCAAGGGGCTGTTACCTTCCCAAGGCCAACAAGGTGACCAGCAATACTTCTGTCGCATTGGGGCTGGAGCAAAATGACTGTCCTATAATTTCAATCTACAGAGGAATGGTCCCTCTAACAGAATCACACTTTAATCAGATACTTAGATCAGGGCAAACCTCTGTGATCCTTTGTTTCAAATATGAAGCTTTCAGGAAAAATATTGATAGAAGGAGGAAGAAGCTGGGTATGGTTGATTAGTTCAGGATATCACTCCCTGTGGAGCTTGAGAAAGTGACCTAACCTTTAAAATTCTCAGTTTTCTCACTTGTACAACTGGATAATATTAGCATCTACTTCATAAGATTGACATGAGAATTAAATGGTATAATTGACATTTAATTGACATAAAGCACTTGCTTAGCACTGTGTCTGGTGTATCATAAAGAATAAATGGTGGCATTAGCATCATCCAAAGAACCCTGGTGGTGCAGTGGCTCAGCTCTTGGCTGCTAACCCAAAGGTCAGCGGTTCGAACCCACCAGCTGCTCTGTGGGTGAAAGATGTGGCAATCTGCTTCCCTAAAGATTTGTGTAGCCTTGGAAGCCCTATGGGACAGTTCTACTCATAGCTTTCTAGGGTCACTATGAGTCAGAAATGACTCCATGACAGTGGATTTTTGGTTTGGATTATCATCATCATTATTATTTCATACAATGTTTCATTCATGGCTCTATCTCAGCACCTATCTCTGGCACATAGAAGGCCCCCAGCAAATATCAAATGGATGAATGACTATAATGTGACTGAATGATAATCTACGACCCATGTCCCTCAGCTTCTAGTCTGGGGTAGGAAACTCAGTAATAGAAGACATAGAATACGGTTGACTTACAAATGTGTTCTCACTGATGTTCCCTAACATGGTATCAGTTGTTTCCTAGTGGTAAAGAGAGAGCAGCCTCAAGAAATATATGGTCAAACAGTTTGGATCAGTTTTCTGGGAAAAAAATGTAATGTGTGAGGAAAATAAATTCTGAATATTGAATCAACATCAATAAAATTGTATTTATTAGAAATGTCATTGGATGTAAATAAACTTCTGACCAATTAAATTAAGTAAGCCAAATATGCAAAGACAGGAACTGCATGGAAGAATACAGTCTAGAGCCTATGTTTTTACATATATATATATATATATATATATATATTATATACATACATATACATGTATATATACATATATATATACACACACATACATACACAGCACTGCTAGGAAATCATTTTAAGAACTCACTGTTTTCCTAGCACTGGGGAAGGTACTGAGGGGCATTACCAAAGACATAATAGGTTTATTCCCTGTCTTCTGGTTGTTAACAATCTGGTTGAGAACACAGAATGCACAGCCTTGAAAGCCCATGTTGAGAGCTGGAAAGTCCAGGCAATCAGCGTGGGCAGGAGTGAAGAGGAGCTGGACTCTGAGCACTCCCTTTAAAGATGGCAAGACTGGGTAAAGCAGAAAGGTTTAGACAAGGCTCCAGAGACCAGAGTCAGTGTAAGCCAAGGTGTGAGGTCAGGAGGAGATCTTCAACAAAGAGACCAGTTCTGATGGAACTGGAAGTTTGTTTGGGAGAGAAGATTCACTAGAACTTTCCCTTGAAAGCAACTGGGAGCCCTTGAAAGTTGTTGAGCAGAGGAAGAATATATGAATTTGTTCTCATGTTCAGTCCCACATTTGCTTCTACTTTCAAGAGCAGATCCAAGTCTATGTGATGCCTAGAATCACTTAATTTTTCCTGGTTTTCATTCAGCATGGAGGGCAAAGCTAGCTGAGAACAGACTGGGGGCCCTTAAAAAAGGACAAAGATAAGAAAGGGGAAGGAGACACTCTCTGAGTTTGTTACCAACGTCCCCCTGTAGGGAATAGAGCTGGCCTTCTTGTGTCTCCTGGAGAGGCTTTACCCAGTGTCCATGGCCTCATGTGCCCCGTTACTCTCCATGTGGGAGATATAGCACCTACTTACTTACTCACTCATTCAGTAAACACTGGGCATCTTCCATATGAAATACAGGCTGATGAGAATGATGATAATATGGCAGTAGGATAAGTGCTAAGACGGCATTTACAGGACATTGTCTATACACAAAGGAGCCCCAGTGGCACAGTGGTTAAGTGCTCAGCTGGTAACTGAAAGGTTAGTGGTTCGAACCCACCAGCCAATCCATGGGAGAAAGATGCAGTAGTCTGCTTCCACAAAGATTTGTTGTTGTTGTTAGTTGTTAAGTGCCGTCGAGTCATTTCCGACTCATAGCGACCCCATGCACAGCAGAACGAAACACTGGGGGAAGAGCAGGAGAAAAGGGATAAAAGCCAGGAACCCGGACAGAAGAGCAGTCAGCCCCAGGGTTACAGGTGAGGAGAGACAATGCAGGGATGCCCAAAGCAGCAGACAGGAAGAGCAGGAGAAAGGGGATGAAAAGCCAGGAAGCCAGAGAGAAGAGCAATCAGCCAAAGGGATTAGGTGAGGAGAGGAAAGCAGCCCAAAGCAGCAGGACCGGAGAGCAGGAGAAAGGGGATAAAAGCCAGGAACCCGGACTGAGGAGCAGTCAGCCCTAGGGACAACTCAGGGACGCCCAAAGCAGCAGGCCAGAAAAGCAGGAGAAAGGGGATTAAAAGCCAGGAAGCCAGACAGAGGAATAGTCAGCCACAGGGACCCAGGTGGGGGTAATACGAGAGGTCTCTAACAGCAAGACAAACTTGTCTGTCGGTTTGTCCTACTGTGGTGACATGCAGACGTGAGTTTTGAGGCTGAGCCTCTGGTGTTTAAAACCCAGAGAAATGCACCTGGTGCACAGGTAACAGCCCAGCTTATAGACTGAGACAGACTAGGAAGAAGGAAGAGGCTGTCCACTTCTCAAAGAATTGGCCAGGGAAAACCTTATGAATATGAATAGCAAAGAAAACCACAAAGATTTACAGCCGTGGAAACCCTACAGGGGCAGTTCTACTCTGTCCTATAGGGTCACTATAAGGCTGAATCAACTCAATGACATGTTTGGTTTACAGGTTTGGTCTGTAGTCACACATAAAAGGGGAAAGTGGTGTCAGAGTGGCTTCCGAGATGAAATAACACCTAAATTCAATCTGATAACCACATGTGATGAGAGTTGTTGGCATTTAAGCTCAGCACAGACCAATTCTGAAATAACAGCTTCCTAAACCCCAGGAAGGGCTCTGTGTAATTTGCTCTCATCCTCTCAAGCCCAACTTTCTGCCTAATCCTCTCTGTGTTGTCAACAAGTATTTGTGGAGTACCTATTATATGCTAGGAGTCCCTGGGTGGCATGAATGGTAAAGCATGCGGCTACTAACTGAAAGATAGTAGCTTGAGGCTACACGGAGTCACCGCAGAAGAACACCCTAGCAACCTACTTCCAAAAGAGCACAGTCATTGAAATCCTATCGAGCACAGTTCTACTCTGACACACCCGGGGGTCACCATGAGCTGCAATCAACTCGATGGCAACTGGCTTTTGGTTTTATTACAACTCATGGGTACACAGTGGTGGAAGAATAGACACTTCTGTTAAGTGCTATGGAGGAGAAGCACAGCTTGTTGTGAGAGGCTATCACCAGGACCATGTGAACTAGGCTGGGGAAAGCTTGGTGTTTGTCTCTCCGCCAGGAAGAAGGCCTTTAAAATCCCAACACCACCTGAGTTTCTTGGAAACAAAGATGCACTTTCTTCTAAAAGAGTTAGATCCCTTCATTTACTGGGGGCTGTTGCTGGGATCTCTACTGTGAATTCAATAAGCAGTCTTTTGAGCCCCTCTAGATGGCAGGCCCTGGAAGGCATCAGTGACAAGGAGAATTGATTTCTGCCCTCAAAAGCAATGACATTTTTGGGTACTTTTAATAAGCCAGCTGCTGTAGTAGGTGCTTTTTTGTTTTTGTTTTTTAACATATTTCTCATTTAATCCTCATATTTTATTAGTCTTTGGTGATAGCTGTTTTAATTATCTTCATTTATGAAAACCACAACTCAGAAAGGTCATCCAACCTTTAAAGGATGAACATAGGATTTGAACCCCGATCTCTGTGCATCCTCTTCAGTAACCACAGTGTCCCTTCATGATGCTTGTAATCCCCTTTGAGGGTCTGTTAGACAAAGGAGTCCATAATATAAAACCTTTCCTAATTATTACTTTCACTCTTCTTTTCTTTAGAAACTTTGTTCCCCCAGAGACCCCCTCTGCTGAGCTGGAGCACTCCTAAGAGCAGCTGTCTGTACCCACTTCCCTGAAGGACAAAAAGACAAGGCCCTGGGGGTGCAGGGGGTGGGCAGCATGGTGGCTCAGGGTTAGGCTCGGTAGCCATGCTGGCCTGTAGGAGGCAGGGTGCACAGCCCTGTGGCCCTGCCCATAGGTGCCATGGGAAAAGTGCAGGGCCCATCCGTGCTGCATCGTCATGAGCTGGATTTAAGAAAGTGCCTGCTGGTCCTCTGTGAGGGGTCACACATGTCCAAAGGCATGGCTTGCATTAGGGAGACCCTAGAAGCCATCCCTGAGAGCCAAAAGAGACCCTAGCCAGTCTTGTCAACTCAGAGCCGCTGCTGAAATGTGACTGTCCCCCACCCCCGCCTCCGCAGTCAGGACCGTGCACATAGAGACCCCAGCCAGGGGAGGTTCGGTGACGGTCTCACTCTGGGTCCCGCTCCACGAAGCACCATGAACAATAACTTCTACCGAGCCCTGGTGGACCGGAGGCCCACGGTGCCCCCCAGCTGCACGCAGCTGGGCATCATGCATTCTCCTCCGCAGACGCCCCTGCCCCCGGCAGAGGCCTTGGGCAACGTGCCTTTCTTGCTGTACCCAACCCAAGCCGAACCACCATACTACGACGCCTATGCGCAGATGTTGCCCTACGTGCCCTTCCCAGGCGCCTTCGGGGTCTACGACTACCCCTTCGAGCCAGCCTTCATTCAGAAGCGCAATGAGCGCGAGCGGCAGCGCGTCAAATGCGTCAACGAGGGCTACGCGCGCCTCCGCGGCCACCTCCCCGGCGCTCTGGCGGAGAAACGGCTCAGCAAGGTGGAGACGTTGCGCGCCGCCATCCGCTACATCAAGTACCTGCAGGAGCTGCTGAGCGCGGCCCCGGACAGCGCCCGGGAGGACCTTGCGCATCCTCCTGGGCACCGACTGGACTGCTCCAGTGATGGCGAGGCCCAGAGGCCCCCCTCTCTGGTCCCCAAGCCGTCCGAGCCCTCCTGCTTCTCCTCCTCGCCTTTCTTTGAGTCAGAGGAATCCAGCCATTGATTGGCCCTTGGCCACCCTCGGTACACTGCGGGCTCCAGCCCACTCCCAGGCAAAGCCTGGGCGCTGCAGGGTCACCCGGCGGTCCGGCGCAAAGCCCTGGCACTTGGCAGGCACGCGTCGTATCTGTTTTGCGACACCCTGCCAACCACCGGCTTCATCCCTCCCAGCTTAGGACAGAGGTGCAGGGTAGGGGTTACGAGGAACACTGTAGACATCAGAAGAGACTCCTGGGTGCAGTGAGGGGAAGCGACTAGAGAAGGCTCTGGGTGCATCTCCTCCAGGCTGCAGGTGGGCATCTCTGGACTGGCCATCCCTAGTCTAGCTCCGGCTCTGCCTCAGCCTGGCGCGTGGGAAAGTCGGAGCCCAGCCCCTGATTATGTACACCGACCAACCTAGGCTCAGCACTATTTCTGCGAGTTCCTGAGAGGCGAGCCAGGCCCAGTGCAAGACAACCTTTGGTTTGGATGCTCCATGCCCCGGCTTTCCACGAGGTGGCCTCAAACACTAGCGCCTTCCTCGTTGGGCGCTTTCTTGCATTTCAAGAAGGGAACCTAAACCAAGGCGCTGAAGGCTGGGTTGTGCTGTTTGAGCTCACGCAGACCCAACAGACAGACTTGGAAGAAACCATGTGTGTGCCACCAGGTGGCGCTCTCTGGCTTCCTTGATGCAGGGCTTCCATGCACCCTCACTCCCCAGTGTGGCCTTCTAAAGATTTTTCCTGGTTAAGTGAAGCCTTTGTTTTTACCCTTGGACTATAAGCCTGTAGGGGCACAGGTGCCATATAGGTGCATTGATACTGTGCCTCAGGGACTGAATAAAAGGATTATTGAGGTTTGTGATTGCTATCATTGTTTACTCTCACCCATTCTGGGGCCCCTTTGCCATTCCCACCTGAGAACTTGCTGCAAGATTGTATGGGGGTGTCTGTTAGCTCATGCATTCAACTAGCAGAGTAGACCTCCATAGGGTTTTCTTGGCTGCAATCTAAACCCTATAAGAGCGGCTTGTTCTACTCTATAACACATGGGGTCGCCATGAGTTGGAATAGACTCAGTGGCAACAAGTCTTTTTCCTATTAAGTGTGTGAGAGGTGAGAGTCCCAGAGATAAAGCATGCAACCCTTGCACAGTTGGGTGGGGAGAAAGACGCAAATTCACTACACTGTGGCAGGTGGTGTGCTATAGTTGTACATGTTCAAGGTTACTCTAGGAATCTTACACCCCAGAGGGGAGGGGTTAACTGTTTCCATGACATGGGATACATGTGGGAGTGGGGTAAGGGTGGAGGGAGTCCTGGCCTGATACCTGCTTGTACTGAGGTGGGTGGGGGGTACTGTAGAGTTGTGGTGCTAGGCTGAGCAACTTGTCCAGATGGTGGTCTGGAGCTAAGAAGGGGGAAGCTTAATCATCACCTGATGAGGCCAATCTGAGATTTGAGGCTGCATATCATAGGCTACCTCTCTCTTTGAACTCTCTGTTGCTCCAGCTCTGGAATTTTCCATCCTGTCTCCCACCGCCCCATCCCAGGCCTGTGTGAAAGGTTTTTCTGCCCCCATCCCCACCCCCACCCCCAACCTGCTCTGGAGATAGATTGGGATGTCACTGGCTAGGCTGGGAAGGAATGACAGCTGCCTGGCTTCAGGAGCACAGGCTGGGCAACAAGGAGTTGAGTGGAGGCTAATTTTATTCGCTGAGAGCAAGAAGAGTAATCCACCCACCCCCGCCCCAGCAGGGTAGGCTTGGCCGGGCAGGCTCAGCCAGCCCAGTCCCCAAAGTAGGGGCACTGGGGACACAGGGAAGAGCAGGCAGTGGGGTGAGGGAATAGGAGAGAGTGAGGTTGCCAGGGAAGCCATGGAGCCCTCGTCACCCCAGGATGAGGGCCTGAAGAAGAAACAGTCCAAGAAGCCTGTTCCTGAGATTCTGCCAAGGCCACCAAGGGCCTTGTTCTGCCTGACCCTCCAGAACCCCCTGAGGAAGGCCTGCATCAGCATCGTGGAATGGAAGTATCCTTCAGGGCCCCTGGGGCTGCTGGGAGAGTGTGTGTAATGTGGTAAAGGGAGGCAGGCAGTCACAGAGCACAAACTTTGGGGGCCAGGGAAATTGGGGACTTGGAGATGGGGGAATGGCCACAAGGACTTTGTGAGAAGAAGCCCTCAACTGAAAAGGAAGAGGTATCAGTGAGCTTCCTGGAGCATGAGTGGGTGACCAAGGCAAGGGTGACAAGCTGAGACGCCTCTTGACCATCTAGGAAGGAACCTGGATGTTTTGCAGGGCTGTTCCCAAATGTGTCCAAATCTTTGCTGTAACGGGGTCCTCTCTTAGATGTTTCAAGCAACAGTCTCATTTTCTAGTAGAATGAGGGGGAAATGAGAGAAGGGGTGGAAAGGTAGGAAAATCCTCTCCTTTGATGGGAGTGGGAGTGAAAGTGAAGAGAGGTAAGAATTAAGCAAAGGGCTCCACTGGGGGGAAATTCTGGACTTGGACTTGGTTGGGGATGGAGATAGAGATGGAGGAGAAATGGCCTTGAAAAAGAGTTGCTGTGAATGGCTCCAAGACACAGGCCAAGCAAGTCGGGTTATTTTAGCTCAGAATTACCACCCTGGGGACAGGGACTGCAAATCCCTTTTCTGTTTGGGAGGAAGAGTGATGAAAATATCTGGGTTATTTGGGGAAGGGAGGAAAGAGCTCTAAGGAGGAGGGAGGCCTGTGCCAAATGGGGTCTGACAGAGAAGGTCAGGAATATTTGAAATATTTCTGAAGGTTTCGAGAAGACTGGGCTCCCATCAGCTGTTCTCGGGAAGAAAGGAGAATAAGGGATAACTGATGGACAAGAAAAACATGGAACCAAGTTGAACTGGTTTGAGGTCAGCTCCTCACAGCTGCTCTCAGCTACTCACGTCAAATTCTCCTGCTAGCTCTTCCTCCTTGCCTGTGTTCTGCCAGAGCAGGTTTTGTTGCTGCTAGCTGCTTTTGGGTTGGCCCCTGACTCATGGTGACTTCATGTGTCATAGAATAGAACTGCTCCATAGGGTTTTCTAGGCTAGAATCTTTAAGGAAGTAGCTCACCAGGGCTTTTCTCCCAGGAAACCCCTGTTGTTGTTGTTGTTATGTGCCGTCGAGTCGGCCCCGACTCATAGTGACCCCTCCTTGGGTTTCCGAGGCAGTATCACTACAGAAGTAGGATTGCCCAACCTTCCTTCCCCGAGGAGTGGCTGGTGGGTTTGAACCGCCAGCCTTCTGGTTAGCAGTCAAGTGCTTTAGCCACTATGCTACCAGAGCTCCTAGGTGGGTTTTAACTGCTGATCTTTCAGTTAGTATTTGTGCCACCCACTCTCCTCAGAACAGGGTTACCTGGTAGCTTCCCCCTTTGCCCCATTTGTTGCCCCTCTCTGTCTTTTCCTCTCATTAGCCCATGCCTCTGTACCCCTCCTCTCTTCTCAAACACTGGAGGTTGCTGGGAAAGGAATGGGATTTTTCACTCAAGCTTATCTGCATATTATGCCTCCACCTCCACCTCAACCACACACAAACAACTCACCTTTCTTTCTTACCAGTTGGCCCATGCTCAGCAGCAAATCAAAAAAGAAACTAATGTGGGTGGTAGGTGCCCTCTGGAAAATGGCTGTGGAGGGGTGGCTGTGTCTGGGAGGGGGCAGACGTGTATGTGAGTGTGTCCAAATCTTTGCTGAGCTTTGGTGAGCATATAAACACCACATAGAACCAGCGTGAGGGCATAGCTCTGTGAGTAAGCTGATTTCATCAGTTACTGATTCCTTCCTCAGGCTCTGGAGAATCAGGTCATCTCCCCATCATCTTTCCCTATCCATAACCTGCATGGATCCCCCAGCTTTCCTTGTCATTTTCCTGGGTGCACCTCTGGAAGATTGTCTGGCCAGAACCTCAGAAAGTCTTGGCTCCTTGGGCAGAGGGATGGGGAGAACAGGATGGAGCAATGTTAAGACCCCATTGGCCCTTCAGGCTCAGTATCCCTCAGCCAAATACTAGGCCTTTGCAGTCCCAAAGAGTCTAAGTGAAGTTATATGTTCCTGAGGGAAAAAGAGGCCCACACAAATAGGAATCTGGCCCTTTTTTGTACCGGGCAGGGAAAGGAGGAGCCATGGAAAGAGTGCAAAAGCCTGTCTACCTGGCATTATAGTCATGATCCAGGCCAACCCTCAGCACTGTCTTCCCCTGAGCCTTCCAAACCCCACCCCCACACAAAGCCTCTCCTTAACTCTGGCACCAGACCCTTCGAGATCATCATCTTGCTCACCATCTTTGCCAACTGTGTGGCCTTGGCCGTGTACCTGCCCATGCCTGAAGATGACAACAACTCTCTGAACCTGGGCCTGGTAAGAGACATCCTCCCTTCCCCCTTCCTGCTGGCCTCCTTGGCGGACTCTGTTCTGGTGAATGATGCTGGTGCTCTGGCCCCCTGAGAATGTATACCTTGCTCTCCCAATCTCCTGCAGGGCTGGCTCAACAGCTTCTCAGATAAGTCCAGGTAAACGTCTGTGGACTCTATAATGTTACCAGACAGCACTGAGAGAGTATTCATTGTGTTTCAGGCACTGTGCTAAGCACCTTGCAAGAGTAATCTCATTTAATCCTCATGGCAACCCCATAAAGTAGACCTATTTTACAGATGAGGAAACCGAGGCTTACCATCACCAGGTAGTGATGGAGTCTGATGCTTATTTCCCTTTTCCTGGGTATAATCCCAAAGAAAATTGTTTCCTTTGAACTTGCCTTCATGGAAGAGTTTGACCTAGGACTCAAGTGAAGGCATGTTTTAGAGTTTTATACTATAAAACTTGTGAAAGCTGGAACCTGTGGAAGGTGGCAACCTGTCAGAGAAGGAAAACTCAGATATTTTCCACTAACAGAAAAGTGGTAAGACTGCACCCTGTCAAAGGTGGAAAACTTGCAGGACCTGGAAGAACAAGGCAGTGCTGTGGAGTTCCAGCTTGCGTTGTATTACTTTCTCCTCATCTTTTCACC